AAAGTTATGTTGATAAAAAATGTATGATGAATGATGTAATAAAAAAAATGTATGGATTTTTTTTATTTTTTTTTAACAAATCTAATTGTGTGTGTATATATATATTTATTTAAATTTCTACTTATGAAAATAATATTATGTGAATAACTTTGTTTCTATAATGTATATAATACCTTGACATAAAATAAATAAATGAAATAAAAAAATAAGAATTAAAAACTTTTATAACAAATAATGAATTTGATAAATAAGATGCTAATGATGGTAATGTAATAATTAATACTTTTTTTTTAAAAAATTAATTAATTAATTATATATAAATATATGAATGTGTGATGATTAAGATGGTAATTTAACACCAACGTTAGGTACATTAATATTCTTTGGAACTACCCCAAATTTATAATCCAAATCCTAAAAGAATAACAAAAGGTGGTTGTTTCATTATTATGATTTCTTAATAAAAGGCATATAATTTATGACGTTAAAAATTATTTTAACTTACCAATAAGATTTTTAAGGCATTTCTACTTTTGAGGTAACCACCAAGGTCCCCAGTTTCTGTGACATTGCTGACAACCTTACCAACCTTTTCTTCTGTAGCGTTCCAAGGGAACCATCGTTGCAACAATTCGTAAACCATTAAAGTTGTACCGAATTGTGGGGATGATCTAAATACTCTGGCTGGTCCTCCTTTAAAGAAAGCTTTGAATCCTTCTTCTGCAAAGATTTTCCTTCCCGCATCAAATATTCCGTTGTATGCTGTTTGCCCTTTTCTTGCTTCAACTTGTAACCTTGTCTTGATTACATCGGCTGGTGTCGTTAAATATGCTGCCGGCATACCTGCTATGGCTCCTGCCGATAATAACTCTCCTATGCTTAGCTTTTTCTCCGGTCCCTCTCCAAACACATCTGATTTAAGATGCGAATATGCTGGAAAGTAAATGGCCGAGAATGGTATATCTCTTAATAAACATGCCGACGCTCCTTTATATAATCCTAATATTCCGAGATTCCTTACAATCCATAACGCTGATCTACGTTGAATATCTGGTGATAACTTCTTTGCCATCTCTCCTTGTATTTGAAGTCGAATCTTTACAATTTCCAATGGATTTGTAAAAATCTACATATAAAAAAAATATATACATACACGTTTTTAATCCAACAACGTCATCGGATTTACGCAAAAAAAAAAAAAATCTCCCTCTCTCACAAGTCTCAGCTTACCACTTGACAACCTCCTGCAGTACTACCGGCCAAAATTTCGTATTTTAATGGAAGGAAACCATTCTCATTCTTTAACTTTGATCTTACAATATCATTCACTGTCAGTTTGATGGCCTTTTCCGGCGCAACGCCCTAAAAATAACGCGAGGGAAAAAAAAAAACTTTTAACTTAATTTCCCCACAACAAAAAACTTCACGCATTTCGTGACCTCTACTTACAACCAATTGAGGACCGAGACCACTATAAAGACCTAAAAGACCTTCGTTCCTTATGACCTTTCGAAAACAATCAATACTATTCTTATATAACAGTTCTCCTACAACTTTTGATCTCTGATTTTGCATTCTCGTTTTTACCAAATCGATTGGATAAACGACGGTAGCACCAACGGCACCAGCGATCGACCCGAGAGTAAAGGAATACACGTGATGGAATACCCCCCATAAAATTCCTTTATGTTTTGTCGTTTGTGCTTTGTCTGATATTTGTTGGTCAGGCTTTCTTTGCCATTTAGGATCCAACAACTGTGCGAAATCCTTTCTACTTAACCTTCCCGAAGGATTTCCAAGTCCGGCGAAATGAAATATTATATTAGCTTCTAATGGGGTAAATAAAGAAAATCTCGTCTCTTTTGCAGCGGTATTGAGAAAATCGTTTTTCATGATACGTCCATCACTGCTTTCTGATATAGCCCTCAACACGATCCTTTCAACCATATCCGTTTGTCTTACAACGTTATGAAACGCCACGACAGTAGCATAGTTTATTTTTTTACCGGCTGATATGTTACATAAAGTGGGCAAATGTTCTATGAGATAATCAGATAATTTATGTTTCGCGATAGAAAGGATGATTCGCTTGAAAGATTCGGGGGAGATATAACCGGATCCTTCTTGATCATAAAATTTAAATTCTTGCCTCAAACGTTCCGCCTGCAAACCTTTTAACAATTGAGTAAATTCTTCATAATCTAATTCATGCTTCTTGTGATTATTCCAACCAACATAATATTTTAACCAATCACAATCGAAATTAAAGGGAATGCTATCAGGTTCTACATTTGAGGTCAGGATCTCCTTAAACTGGTCAACAGTGATCTTTCCTTTACCTTCAACGTCAAATAATCTAAAAGCGATTTCGTATTCCGCATCAGGTTTTGACAATAGATTTTCGAATATTATAAAGTCCTGAAATGATATTAAACCTTTCCCCCTACTATCAGCTATCCTAAATAATATAGCGAATTGTACTTTTTGTATTTTTTTGTAATCCTCTCCCGGTGCTATGGCTGAAATAAAATCCTCTCGATTCATATATTTCTGTCCATCAAACTTGACAGACGCAAATCTTTCGAAAACTTTTTTTTGTATAGCATACTGTTTTTCCGGTGAAAAATCACGTGTTGTACGTATAAATTCTAGTGACGAAGATGCCACCACCGGTTCCGTTGTTGACATTATTAGTCAAGATATGATTTGTAAATATATATCGAGATAGAGGATAGATAGAGATAGAGGAAGGAATCCGATTTAATATGAAATAGGGAAAGCGGTAAAGAGGTAGAGTAAAAAAGAGGAGACGAGAAAAAAAGAAAAAAAATTTTTTTTTTCAAGGGTGGGGTATAAATACTTTTTTCTGTCCTCTCTGATTGATCTCATGTAGAACCAATCTGAAGCAATCGTAACAAGGTGCTGTGCGCACAAAAAAAAAAAATATTGCTTCACTTCATTATTCCATTTGTTCCATTTTTTCTTTAGGAAAAAAAAAAAAAGACCAAAACGTAAAGAAAATTTTTTTTTTTTATATAACCCAACCGGTATTTCCCACAAATTACCCAATTACGCAATTCATCGGACATTTCGTAACAGGCGGTGTAACTTCCTGCACTCGATATTAAATCCATATCGATATACATAAAAATTTTTTTCATTTTTTTTTTTTTTCCTCTATATATCTTTTTTTTTAAAAAAAATTGATTTGATGATGATGATGATTTATTTGTTTATTGACCCTGATAATCTTATAGAAGAAATCTTATAATAGCGAATCATACGCCAAATACAAAATATCTCATTTCATGAGTCCGAAATATTATCGGAATTACGAGATCCCTGTTCGGTTACAACCTTTATCCCTTTGTGGCAGAATTCTTTTCGAACGTAACATCTTTTTTACAAAAAAAGAGATGAGTAAATTATGGTTAGGGGATAAGGTTCAAAAAAAATGGAGAAATTACAAATAAAGGAATTCAAGTTGTAATTATGAGTAATTACATCCTTTATTTAACAAATCAGGGCAGTCGAAATAATTTTTTTTTAAATTTGGTTCCGTAGATCTCCTTGCTCCGTTAGCCTACATGAATTATCCGAAATTTCCCACGAATATATCAATCATTTTTTTTTCATTAGATTTCTCCGAGTTATCACAGTACAAGTTTTGTTTATTTATATGTTGTAAAACATTTCATTTAATACATTTGAAAGCGTAAATTTCATATGAATGGTTACGAGTGACAGGACCAAAAAAAGAATATTTATTAAAAAGAGAGATTTTTTTTTTTCGAATGATGAACACGGATTGATGACCATTCTTGGATAAAAAAAAGCTGGCGTTTATTTTTTTTTTCGGTCAAAAAAAAACTCTCAAAATCTTATATCGATATATTATAAGTAAAAATAAGCAAAAATAAACGGATAAATTCCAAAATGGTTTCAACCTTGGGCAGCGTTAGCCACGGAACGGATGCTAAAGAATTGTCACCGCAGTAAAAAATAATGAGATCACAAAGTTGCAAACATTGTCGAACCTATAAAGGCAGGGTGAGACAAAACCTGTCATGCATGGTGATGGACTTGTCGACACGAGTCTATAGAAATTGACATTTCATGAAGTGAATCACGTGAGCGATAAAGATTTTTTTTTTTTGAAAACAAGCGACTCACGTTTAGACGGATGCTAGTTTCGCAACGGGGAACCCCCATTTCGTGCATTCTTTCAACACACTTGCGAATGGTAGACATCACCTGATCAAAGTTACCCTCTGTCACAATGAAAGAATTTAATGCACATGATTATTATTTAACGATAATGCGTCAAGTTTTTAAAGTTCGACAAACCGAAATTGGTTCCATTTGCATGCACGTTATAATTCAAGCTTGATGAAATTGAACGAACGTGTTAATAAAACAAGAGAAGTGATAAATAGGATGATAAGAATTATTTACCTAGAATTTTGCAAAATCGTTACACACTCTTTGATGTACTGAAAATAAAAATAAAATGATTGAATCTTTGTAATTTAACATCCCTCCGGACGAGAATTGATACATACGTCTTTGGTACTAGGCTCAACCCCCATTGGGGTGATGCATAAATCAGCAAGGACGTGGGAGGGTTTATTAGTAGAAGACATGATTAATCAAGCGAGAAAGAAAATTTAAGACGTAGAAAATTTTGCGAAATTTTACTCTTTTTAAAATGATGGGAAAACAGAACAAAAAAAAAGCGAGCGTCTTCAACAAATGCAATCATTTTGACCAAACTATTATATTATGTTGAGATGTCGTAATAATCGCATGAATCCTGAAACTAAGTTTGAATTGCGGCGACGCAGTATGAGAAATAATAACATGATACAGGTATAAAACTTGTTTTTTATAAGAAAATGTCATCAGTTGATACTTTAGGGATTTATAATAAAGGGCATTTATTTGGATAGACAGATCGTACCAAATTTGTGATGGGTGAGAGAATAAACACCAACTTAATATTATTCAGCTTGTTCTTTTTGAGTTTCGGTTTCTTCTCGAATTTTACGTGCATAAGCTGAGACTACCATAGCAAAATACACCTATTACGATAAAAAAATTTTTTGGATCAACAATTTTTTTCTCTCGTTTTTTAAGAAATTATTTTAACCATTTAATAACATACCGATAAAAGGATTACAACGATGGCATAGGCTATATTGAATGTTAAGCTATAATTGTATCCTTGGGCACACGCGTATCCAAATTCAGGAGAAGTGGTTTCAATGTACCGTTCACATTCTTCCATGATCGATGATCTATGTACGATAATAAGAATAATCATATAGACATGAACAACAATTTCAGCTCCTGCAATACCATATGCGACTTTAGAATAGTTAAACAACCATTTATGCGTCTAAATGAATAATAATAATAATCATAAAAATTAATGGGGATCCTTTGGAATGAAAAATTAACGGAATCAACATTGTTATACAAATTCTCTCATCACATACCGAACGGGTTATTGCGAATAATCCAAATACCGCTCCGAATGTTATCAATAAATAAAGAATGGCTGGCAGAATAGAAAATCCACGATTGTAACGGATTGCTACATTTATTTAATAAAAAAAAAAAAATTATATATTTGCCTTTTTATTTATGAAAGGATAAGAGAGAGAGAAGGTCACCACTTACAATCCGTCACTAAATCTGTAATATCAGTTATTTCTCTTGAGGCGAGAACGAAGATATTGCTCAAACTACCAATAAGACCGTCAATCTTTTTATTTTGTAAGTAATGATTTTAAATGAATTATTAAAATGTATATGATCTATTGAAAAGATTGAAAGAAATAAAAAAAACTCACAAGCCATAATATGGATATAATCAAGACACCGGCCTTTAACCTAACACAACCACAACAGTTTGCCATTTGTTGAACGGGCATTTTTGTTAAGAGTTCGTTAAGAGTTCGTTAAAAAGTTTTCTTTTTTATTTTATTTATTATTTACTTTTAAAAAAATTAAGTCGAGTAAAAAAAAAAAATTATATTTCAACGGGAAGATAATAAATACTTTTAACATAAGCTAAGCCCCGAAGCTACCTTTCAATGTTATACGTTAACAAGTTTTTTTTTTGTTGTTGAAAATATATCTAAAATTTGATGAAACACGTAAATTTATTTATTTTTTTTTATTTATTTTTTTTTTTTTAAAAAAAAAAAAAAAAAAATAAAGTCGTGAATAAGAATGAGTTTCTTTGCTCCTCAATCAAAAAATTATTTATGTATTTGATCAACATCCTTATCCTTTGTAAATGATTTTCTAAACTAGGCATAATTACTATTTATGTTTGTTTCATTTTAAACATTTTCGGAAAAGAGGTTTAATTGTCTTTTTGTTAATTTTCTTTCAAAAGATCGTCCAACAATAATCGTTATGTCTCGTTCTTGTAAATACTTTTCACATGGCGTTTCTTTTGAAGGTATCTAAGTTTTTGATCGAAAATCACTCGTAAATTAATTTCCGCACAAAGATTGATTATTTTTAGTCCTGCCATTATTAACGATACATTGTTTCCATCTTCGGGACATGCTATCAATATAAACTTTTTTTTTGTTCCATTCTTTAATTGAATCCGCAATGCCGTTTAACCGTTTAACAGTAATTATCTCAGGATTCCTTATTAAAGGAGGCAAATATGATAATATTAACTTTACTTTTTTTACTTTGAATATTCTAACCCATTTTTTTTCTATCTATAAAAAAGATATTTAATTTTACATATTCTTTTTATGCTTACGTTAATTCTTTTTTTTTTTTAAAAAAAAAAAAAAATTTATAATTGCAAAATACTAGTTTACTAATTAAACGTGATCTAAAATGACCTAAAAATTGAATGTAAAGTAAATATTGTGCTTCTATCGACAAGGCCCTAAAAAAACAATTTTTTATTAAAATGTTAGTCCGAAAGAGAAATAAAACTCAATTTGAATTTCAACTAAAATACCAAAGATCAGTATTAATGAATTCATTCTTTAATTCTATCGTGAAACAAGTCACACTTTCACTTCTAATTCGGGCGCCTTGGTTATGATGATACAGTAAAGTTTATCGGATTTGACATTATAGAAAGTTAAAAAAAGGTATCTATTGATTCAAAGAGGTAGAGTAATAATGGAAGGAACCTCAAGAAGGATGTGTTATATAAAGCAAGAACCTAATGTTATTTATTCCTGGTGTCATTGAGAAATGTACAAGTCCTCTCGTCTCGCTATTGGATATCTTTCATTGGGGACATAATGAGCATTTTTAAACCCGAATCGGCTTTTTTTTCGAAATTTATACATTTATAATTAGAAGTTTTGAATTCCAATTCAATCTTTATCTAAATACTCGGTTGAACTTAACGGGGGGTAAAGCGAAAATTTTAATGGGCTTTTTTTTTTTGTTCCATATTTCGATCGCAAAAATAAAAATATTCAAGATTATTTTGGTACGTGCGTGTATAAATAAACACATAAATAATCAAGTATTTATTTATTAATAAAATATATGAAAATTGCTTTGTTAAATTTGAAACAACACATACATATACACACGTATATATAATAGACAGAAATTACCGTAAGTGATAAAGTGAGAAAAATGAAATTTCCATCAAGGAAACTCAATTTTCCATTTTACGCGTAAACTGCTTATACTAATTAAAAAGAAATAATTAGAAAAAATTTGGCTAAATTTTTATTAGTAAGAAAAAAAAAAAGAAAAAGATTAATTAAAGAACTTACCAAAGCTATCACCACATTTAAGTTCCAAAGCCATCTTTATATTTTGTAATGAACCAGAGAGGGTAGTGTAAGGATGATCAAACTGATAGCGAAAAAAGGTTGATGCCAAGTTTCTAATACAATCCGTGCATACATTATTGAGTGGAGATTGAGCAATTTTCGAGGTTAAATCTGTTGCACCTTGATCGTTTTCATTTAAACCTTCTAAGCTAGAGACGACACAGTCGTCTGGATTACATAATGTTGAGTATATTACATCATAAGAATCTAATAATATAACTCCATTTACGTAAGAATAATCTCCTCCGGAACATATCGCATGATATTGAGCTGATGCTGCGTTGAGTTGATCCGAATTACATTGGTATGTACAAAATGCTGGAGTTATTTCCGTTAACTTTGTAGCGACGTTTGGATCATTTGGGTCGAGTATTCTTAAACTGTTGAAACTATCACTGAAACAATTCGTTATTTCCACGTTATCCGACAAAAGTTGCATGTTGTCATTATTACATGTTTGAGAAAAGACTAAAGTGGTTCCTACCAACATCAGCAAAATTATTTGTGTAAAATTAGTCATAAAGGGTTTCATTTTTGAAGGAAAAAAAATGATTTTTTTTTTTATTTTTTTTTTTTGTAGGTAGGGTTGTTGGGGTGGTGATATTTCGACAAAATTACAGAAAACGTTTCAATTTAAGTAAAACCAAAGAAAAAAGGGGAAATGAAAATCTTGAACAAAAATTCGTTCATTTTCATCAATTCCGAAGATACAGATCGGTGAGTTATATAGAATAACGAAATCATATTTAATGATGATTGCCAAGAAATTTATGAATCATAATTAAAGATTTTGTTTTAAATTACAAACCGTGCTTTATTTTATTTTATTTTAATTTTTTTTTTTTTTGAATTATGTTCGAATGATATAGTATGTTAGAAATGAAGAATAATGTTTAAAAAAAAAAAAAAAAAAAAATGGAATATTGTACACGATGCGAAAATGAAATTATATTAGAGGATTATTATTATTATTTCTCTTTGGTTAAAAGAAATAAAAAGATGCATTTTTTTTTTTTTTTTTATAAAATATGAAAAGGTGAACGTAGATGTTTAAAATAAAATGATGTCGTCTATACAGTTTGATCTGTAAGATCATATTCTTTGTCAATTTTAATCTTAAATAAACTAGGTCCAATCGAAATATTAGATGAAAGATTGTTAATTCTATTTAGTTTTTCTTTCTCCATCCGACGTTTTGCATTAATTCGCAACATGATTGAAAAGTAAACCTAAAAGAGAAAGAAAAAGAGATATGAAAATATTATTTTTTTTAAAAAAAAAAAAAAAAATGGTTTTTTTTTATTGATATTACTTACGTGCAGGGTAAGGGTAACTTGAAGGAATACAGCAAAACCCAACCAAAACAAACCAGCATTTACATAATTAAGGCAATTTGGATTAACTTCACAATGTCTTCTTTTGTTAATCAACGACGTGACAATTAATACCATGACAATCACAAAGTTTATAAAAGCTGCAAATAGCCATGAAATGTTTGAGTATATTCGAAAGAATGGATTGGATTTCTAATTAAGGGAGATTTGTATTAATTTCACGTGTCATGGAAGTAAAGCAAAATCCTCGAGTTTGTCACTTACATAAACTATTAATGCAAGTATGCTCATGATAGACAATAATACAAAGTGCAAGGTCACAATCAACGTTGAACCTTTGGCAAATGCGTATACTGTAATGCAATAAGGTATCATGAGTGAGTGGAATTCGCAAAACGACAAAATAAAAAATTAAAGACTTACTCGATGTTTCGTCTTCTTCCAATGAATCAAATGAACCATATAAGAATTTTACCGACAAGGCAACAGCTTCTATAATCCATAAAGCAGAAGAAATTATACCTGGTCGTATCAGATAGAAATAACTATCTCGTTTCTTTGTAACTTTAGCATTTTCGAATTTCATTCTTTATTTTATATATATATATATATATATATATATATATTTTTATTTATTTATTTTAAAAAAAAATCCCGATCATTAAAGAAAGTAAGGTTTGATTAAATGCCCGTTGTTCTTTAATAATAAAGTTCTCTTTGAACCTTCGTTAAGAAAGTTTTCCTTTGCAAAGAGGGCAATAAAAAAAAAAAATTCGAAGCTAAAAAAAGAGAATCGAAGGATAACAACAACAATGATTTCTTTTAACGAATGAATACACCAAAAAATGACATATATTTTTTGGTAAAATACATTTATGATGAGAACGTGAAAGAATAGGAGAAAGATTTTTTTCGAATTGTGTGCGTTTAAAATGTGTTATATATAATAATTCATTTTAAAATTTAATACAGTATGGTGCCTCATTTGTATTACCAATAGTAAATAATTAAATAATCGCGTTTCATCCTGATTTAGAAAATTTTCCAGGATTTCCTATAATAAATAAAAGATAGAATACAGGGTCAATTTCGGAATTTATGGATGCAAATGGAAGTATTTTTCATAAAATGAAAGTATTGTATCTCCTAAAAAAAATGAGTTTTCACCTCTTCCCAAATAAGTAATAGAAAACCTTTTTCATTGGTTATATTCAAAAAAAAAAAATTAAAAATTGCCTCCTTTTAATTTATAATCAATCTTTAAACTTCTTTTTTAAATACTTTTTTAAAAAAAAGGGAAAATCAAAGAAGTCATTATAACAAAGAAAAATATTTAGGAAAGGTTTGCGGTTCATTAGTTAGATAGCCTTGCATTTCAATTGTTTATTCAAACAAACAATCTTACCTTTGTTTGCTGCGGACGATCATTATATACATTAATCGTACATCCTAATTGCACCAATCAATGATTCAATGTTTTAAAGGGACTAGTAAAAAACGGCGATTTCCGTATTCTAAACAAAAAAAACCTGATTATTAGCAAGATGAATATAACAAATCAGTCGCTAAGAAACGCCAAAGGCGAAATCTATATTTTATCTTCTCCCATTTAAATTCATATATATAAATTCTTGTCTGACTAATCATAAATTGAAAAATCGATAAAACCCATTCCGCTTTTGATGAGGTAAGCATTTTGACATTATCGTTGGTTGTTGAAACACATTGCTGATTCCCGTTCGGAAGAAACCCAAGTTCGAATTTTCAAATACATTGATACTGCGCCACAAATGTCGGGCAAGTCACAAACGATAATAATATATATATAATGATATAATATAATATAATTATACTTTAACCCCATTGTAATAATCTCCCGTCTCTTCTTTTTTGAACAACTTATTAAATAAAATCATGTAGAATTTTTTAGGCCCAAAGTTTTGATCACCCACGTTTCTTTGTTATACCAATCAAGTTTTTTTTATTTGAGTTATGCAAATTTGATTTATTGCATCACAATTTTGAGAATGAATAAAATATTACTCGGCAGCTGTTGTGTTAGTTGATTCTAATAAACATATTAAACAGAGTAACAATAAAAATTCATAATTATTACCTCTTTTATCACTATGCAATTAAATATACTGTACATAATAATATATATTTTACAAATATTTATTATTTTATTAATTATCTTATTAATATTTAATTTGACTTTTATAAAGGTAAATTAGTTATCAAAATATTTATATCTTTTAATAGATTCTTTAGTTCAAAAAAAAATAATGAAATTTTAACATTTTATAATGATAGCATTTGAAAAAAAAACTAATTACTTCTTATTTTACTTTTACCTATACTTTTATTTTTATTTTACCTTTAAGTTTATATTATAAGAAAAAGTTTTTTAATTCTAAAAATATTAAATATTAAATATAGATTATTTTATATAGGGCATATTAGACAAAGTTAACATTTTATTTGTATTATAAATGAGAGTCTGATGCAGTTAAAAGATCAATTAAATGAATAATGACATTTTGCATATAGTAATATAGCTGTGACTTAGACATAGATTTATAGATAATCTTAAATCTTGTTATATATTATAGTAAATATAACTGAACTGTAATTTTATTTAAAGAATTATAGCATTATTAGAAGCATTTTAAAGAAAAGATAAGAAGAAAAATTGCTACATATATTTTTAAAATTAATGATAACTAAACTCTAAAGGAGTATCTTAAAAAAAAAAATTACTTATGAAATTTATCAAGAAAGATGAAAAATAATAAATAAAATGAACTTTTAATAATAATTTATGATGATCTAAAAAAGAAACAAAATACTTGAAGAAATATAAAACAAATAACTATTTCTTTATACAGATCCCCGCCAAAAGTCTCTGGATATTTTTTGATTCAATATAAAACTTAAAACTTTTAAATTTTATTAAAAAATATTTATTAAAATATTTATTAAAGTACAATATACTATACATCTAGTACTAAATAATTAGTACTTGGTCAGATCTCTATTTGCTTCAATCACAGCTTGAATTCGCTGTGACATACTATCGACTAATTTTTGATAGTTTGTATCAGAATTTGTTTCCATGCCCTTATAACATGTTGATTGAATTGAGCAAGGTTAGAAGGCAATTTTTTTTTCACAGATGCTCTTCTTGACTTCGACCTATAGATTCTCAATAGGATTGAAATCTGAACTTTGAGTAGGCCATAGAAGTACACGCAGACCATTTTTTGCATGAATCTTCTTTGCAAGTTTCATTTTGTGAGGGCGAGCATTATCCTCTTGGAATATACCATCACAATTTGAAAATATGCACCTCATAGTTGACATGACACGCTTGCGAAGAATAGTGACATGTGTAGTACCAATGACTATTTCAGATAATGGAACAATTAGTCCTAAGCCTTGTCTTGAAAAGCACCCCTAAAACATTCGGCTAAGGCTATGTTTTACTATGGCAGAAATACAAGAAATGTTCCATTTTTCATGAGGTTCACACCACACATGACTATAATAGCTTTGTTAGAATTGTGAAAAGATAGATTCATCACTCTATATGACCTTTGACTAATCATCCTTTATTCAACTTTAGTATTCCAAACACCATACAAGACGTGTCTCAACATTTGCTGGTATGATTAAAGGCTTTCGTCAAGCAATATAATTGTTTAACCCAGCTGCACAAAGTGTTTGACCAATAATGCAAGTTGAAACATCTTGGCTGATCTTTTTTTGCCAGAGTTGTTATACTTCTACAGTGCATAAGTGATGATTTTTTTCTTTATCATTAGTGACAATTTGCTTAAGCTGACTTTACCTCAAATCTTTAATTAAGGGTAGTTGACCAAAATGAGGCTTTGAATTAATAGTTCTGGAGTCATCCATTTTTTTTAATGTATTAAGAACTGTTGACTTTTCATAACTGATAGTTGCAACAATTATTCGATAACTATCGCCACGTTAACAGCAAAAAATTATGCCACTGTATTATTCTATTGTTAATTCTTTGGACATTTTCATTGTTTTAAAAAAGATAAAATTTTATTTTGATCTAAAATCAAAATAAACAAATCAAACACGTATTTATTTAGTTTGATTCAAGTAAATAATATCCAGAATATTATATAGCCATAATTGTATACAGTCACATGACATAATCAGTATGAAAAAGTCCCTGAAAGATGGTGTCTACGAGGGTCTATATTATTAATAATTATTGATAATTAAATAAATTTCTATAATTTTTATATATTATTTGAGTAAAAATAATAATACACAAAATTTTTAATTCACTATTTACTAATTACTACAAATTTGATATAATTTATAATTAAAAAAACCTGTATCATATTAAAAATAATAGGAAAATATTAAAGATAATAAAGAAGAAATATTAAAATAAAACATCAGAAGAGCAGCTAATAAATTAACAGTTTCAAGCCTATAGTTATAATATACAGTGGCTGACAAAAGAAACGCAACAACTTATTTTTAGCTTTAAACGCTTATAACTTATTAACTACAAATGCT